ACCAGACCAGAGACCACCAAGGGCCCACCCATTCCAAGCAGTCATTACATTTCCCAAGATACAGGAACGTCCCCAGGGAGGTGTGGAACCCAGACTTCCCCTGGCACTCACTTCTGGCAAAAGCCAGGGGTCGTTCTGAAACAAGAGTTGGCATAGCTCGTTATAGCTCAGGTGGTCAACGCCATGAGTTCTCAGCACACTCAGGTTGTGATCGGTTGTCAAGCTGTGACTATTCCTACAGTTCTTCCTGCAAAGAAGCAGAGCTGGTGTTACATGTTGAATTGAGTCTCCTCAAAATTCCTATGTTCGAGTCCTAACTCCCAGGACTTCAGGATATGGCTCTATTTGGAGAGAGGGTCTTCAGAGAGGTAATTAAGTTAAAATGAGGTCAATAGGGTGGGCCCCAATCCCACATGACTGCTGTCCTTATAAGAAGAGATTGGAGCACAGACACACACAGAGGGAAGCCTATGTGGGGACACAGTGAGAAGGCGGCCATCTACAAGCCAAGGAGAGAGGCCTCAGAAGAAGCCAACCCTGCCAACACCTTGATCTCAGACTTCTAGCCTCCAGAACTGTGAGAAAGTCGATTTCTGTTGTTTCAGCCTCCTAGTCTGTGGTACTTTGTCATGGCTGTGCTGGCAAACTGAAAGCTGATAAAATCAGTCTTCATGACAATTGCTCAGAACCACTTCCTGACAGTGTTTACAAGCACCAGAGAAAAACCAGCATGTCTACAAGACAACAACAAAAAATCTAATGTGTATTTACCAAGGAAGAGATGGGGCCTTTCAAGGTCTATGGCCCAGGATGGCACCTCTCAGCAGGCATTTGATGAGAATGACAAAGAGGAGTCACTGCACAGCAGTTGGTAAGCAGTTAACTACAGGCTCAATCAATGAGCATGGCATCTTATCATCATAGGTCACATACGTGCATGCATGCAGGCATGCGCACACACAGCCCTGAACCCAGCCCTTTTTTCTGCTCTCTTCCTTCATTCTTTCCATCCACAAGCAGCTGATAAGCACCAGGGTGAGCCAGACACTGGCATCATGCCCTGAGAACCCAAGATAAACCTTTAAATGACTGCCTGAGTCACCAGGACCCAGAAGAGTCAAATCAACAGCATTTGTTTGACTCAGACACTGCTGTGCCACCTATGCCACGCTTATAATACACATCTCAGAAGAATGCCAAACCTGGATCCACCCCAAACCCGCACCTCCTACAGAATCCCCAGCTCAGTAAAAGGCAACTTCCCTCTCCCACTGCACAGACCAAAAACCCCGAAGCCATCCTTGACTGCTCTCTTTCCCTCATCTAGTGGAGGTGGCAGACAGAGAGGACTCTGATACGGAGTGGAAAGTGCAACTTCAGCTGTGGTCAGAATCCGTCAGAGCAGAGTGGAAGGGCACGTGAGCCAGGCTGGGCTGGGAGAGAACTGGGGAAGAAATCAGGGGAGTGTACTGGACAGCATAAAGCCTGAATGGAATAGTTAAAGGGTGACGAGGAGACAGCAAGAGGAGAAAGGAAGAACATTCTAGAAGAGGGGCAAATAATTTGGTGCTGCCAGAGCCAAATATATCTAATAACTGTAATGATGGCTAATGATGACAATGACTACTAAAATTTAATGAGCAACTGCCAAATATCGGCCAAAATGTTTTATGAGTTAACGCATTCAGTCCTGAGCCAGCCTGTGAGGGGAGAAATATCATTAACCCCACTTCGCAGATGAGGGAACTGAGACCTGGAGATAAAGTCATTTGCCCAAAGCCACCAGCTAGCAAGGAGCAGAGCCCAGGTTGAAACAAGGTGGGCTGGTTCTCGGGACTGTGCCCTAGACCACTGGGCTCACCGCCTCCTGAGCACAGGACTAAGAGTCAGGGAACCAGGACTACGTACCACCTCTGCAGCAGGTCTGATGACCTATTTCTAAGAGCACTGACCCTGAGGCTCAGGAAGACAAGGAGAGACACAGGGGAAGCACAGAAGTGTGGCCAACCACACCCACTCTCCCCAAAGTGACTCAGAAACGGAAGGTTCAAGAAATTCACCTGTGTAAACATGTAAGAGGAACTAGTTTTGAGAACTAGCTTAAGAACAGGGCTGCCATCTTTATTTTACAAAATATGAACATTAAACAGATCTACCAGTTACTCCCATGAGAAGCTCCGTCCAATCACCTTTTGCTGTGTGCCTTCTCCCTCCTGGGCTGCTGTTCCCCAGCCTCCCCGGGACTGGCTCATCCCTGAAGGCTGATTTCCCCAGAGTTCCGCCCTCAGCCTCTTTTCAGGCCTCAGGCTCTACCTCAGATCTGATCCACTCCTGGGGCTGCAGTCACAGCCACACCACCCAACGTCTCCCACACCAGCCCAGCACCTCAGACCCCTGACCTTCCTCTCAAGTTTCTGACCTGGACAGCTGCTTCCTGGGCATGCTTCAAAACTAAAACCCTCTCCTGTTTTCTTGTCTACAACACCCAGGCCACAGTGGGTGCAGAAACTGAAGAGTTTCTGAGAAAGTTCACCTCTCTCATGTCCTCTCACCACACTGTCACCGACTCAACTCTTCAGAATTTCTCGCATAGCCCTTGGAAAGTTCTAATCTACATATTTCTGAAAAGCTGCTTCTTAGAGACTACATTTCCCAGCCACCCTGCATCTAGACAGGGTCACAAGACAGCTTCTGGTCAATGGGATGTGGGTGAATAGAAATCCACCACTTCTAGACCTTGCATATAGAAACCTCCCATTCAGCTGTGTGGTGGCTCACACCTGTAATCCCGGCACTTTGGGAGGCCAAGGTGGGCGGATCATGAGGCCAGGAGTTCAAGACCAGCCTGGCCAATATGGTGAAACCCCGTATCTACTAAAAATGTAAAAATTAACCAGGTGTGGTGGCAGCTGCCTGTAACCCCAGCTTCTTGGGAGGTTGTAGTGAGCCAAGATCACACCATTGCACTCCAGCCTGGGCGACAGAGCAAGACTCCGATTCAAAACAAATAAATAAAAACAAAAAAATAAAATAAAAACCTCCCATGCAATCGTCTACTGGAACTTGATACCTAGGCTGGCCTCAAGAGCCATGTGCTGAGTAGCGCAGAACAGAGGTCAGTTAGCCTGGATCCCTGGATGACTGTATGGATCAAGGCCCCCCACCCCATGCTCACTGTTGACCTGACATGAGCAAGAAATATCTACTCTATTAAGACACACACATACACACACACCAGGGAGCAAGCAAGAAAGGAGGGAGCAGGGGAGGAAGGAATTCTCCTGGACTAGCTTCCCAGCGGTTCCCAATGACATTCTCCCTTAAATTGGCACCCACACCACTACCTAAATTGCAAACCTGATGGGTGCTCTCTCGTGCCATTTGACTCGCCCCATCACCTTCAGGATGAGGCCCAAATCCTTCAGCATAAACCTCAGCAATCCCTTCCACACATCCCACTGAACATGTGCTATAATCAGAACATGGGCGCTAAGTGCTGGGGAGACAGTTGGGGCTTCTGTCCTCAGGGAGTTTCCATTCTACTGGGAACTGGGTGCCACGAGAAAAATAAACAGTTCCCTGTGACCAAGAGTAAGGAGAGGAAAAGCCCTCAAATGGGATGTGATCTTTAGGTTGAGGCCTGAAGCAGGAAGGGCAGTCCAGGCAGAGCAAATGTTCCCAGAAATGCCCAGGCTGGGGGGTGTTCCAGGCACAGAAAAGTAGCGGGTGGGCAGGGACCAGTATCCCAGAACCTTGTGGGCGATGGGAGGGAGCTTGCAGTTTCCAGTTTGTAACCAGATAAATAGGGTTGAACGGGGTTTAAAGATCCCTTCCGGCTGCTGGGCAGAGAAAGCCTTCATTGTCTGCCCTCAAAGCTTGCAAGGGGAACCCACGGCGTCGTGGAGCTCCCCTAGGCCACCGCCTCCCTCTCCCCCACCCCACACTGCCACAACCGGATGTTCCACCCGGCACTATCGCGTTCTTTGTAAGTCACTCTCTCTCCCCAGGAGTCCGGAGGACTCCAATCGACGAGTCCCGCGCACTGTGCCAGGTACTCAGCAGGTGCTCAACAAACGCTCGCTTTAATGAATAATGGGGCGAGGCCGGGCAGAGCCACCGAATTGTCTGCTCAAACTTCAAGTAGGACCCCAGGCCGACTGGAAGCGCGTAGGGGCGCTCGGGGCCTCTGCCCGGGCCCGAGGCCGCGCCTTACCCGGCTCTCAGGAACTTGCAGGCGCCGTAGACCATGAACTTGCAGAGGTGCAGCTGTGCACAGAGCCCCACGCAGCCCGGCTTGGAGCCCTGGTGCGCGCGGCACAGGCGCAGCGGCGACGCGGCCAGCACCACGCGCTCCGGGACCGCGGTCGCGCCGCCCGCGCCCGCCCGCGCCGCCACCACGAAGCGCCCACACTCCCGCAGCAGCCGCTCCAGCGCATCGCTGCCCAAGCCCACCCGCAAGCGGCGCCGCAGCTCGGGCAGCTCCAGGGCGCCCCCGGCCGCGCACAGCACCTGGGTCACCTCACCGACGACGCTAGCCTGGGCCATGGCCGCGGGGACTGCGCCCGTCGGACCACGAGTGGCGCGACGCGGTGCGACGCGGGCGGCGGCGGCCGCTAGCTGGCGGGCGGCTCTCGCGGGGTAGAGGCGCCGGCGGGAAACGAAACCGAAAGCTACCCCGGGCCGGCGAAAAACAGAACCTGTGCGGCCTCGCCACGCCCCCGACCCGCAGCTGAGCGGCAGCGCCTTACGCCTCAGGGTCCCCAGCTGTGCGGCAGCCGCCGGACGGGAGCTCGGGAGTTCGGGAGCTCGGGCGCTCGTGCGCTCGTACGCTCGTGCGCTCGTGCTCGGCGCTCGGGCTGGGGCTGTGGCGGCTCGAGGGCTTGTCCCCAGGCCCGGAAAAGGACTTTCCCGGATGTTTGAAGAACCAGAAGCCCCTAACGATGCGATGCTCCGAGCGCCTGCAGTCAGAGGGCGCCTCGAGGGTGGCGGTAGCGTTGGCGGAGCCGACTGGACGCCGCCCGTTAAAGCCGCTCGGCGTCGCCGGGGCCAAGCCCGGGCTTCGTAGACGACTCACAGAAACAGGGACGACTGATGGGCCCCCCACCCCTCGAACAAGTGACAAAAGCGATCACTCCGCTTTAGGAAGACGCACTTAAATGTTCCTTTCACCTCGTTGCATCAATGATTTCCTTCACGTAAACATAAACCGGTATGTCCTTTAAAAGAGCAAATCATTTACTCCCAGCCCCTGCTAAGTAACGTTTGAGCAAATGTTTTAGAAGACCCTTGAGAGCAAAGGACCGTCTCACACGTGCTGAGGGCAGTGCAAGTTGTGAGAGCCGTTTGGGGAAGTAATCCAGGAAAGCTATCAAAATTGAAATCGCGTGTGACCTTTGACACAGCGATCTTTCCTCGGAATCTTCCGGAAGTAAAAGGAACAGTAAATAAGTTATGTGTGAAAGTGTTACTGGGGGAACCCCACCTGGGAGTTATCGTTAGTGGGAATTGTGTGACCGATCTTTATTAGGAAATCTATTTAACAAGCGTGTGTTAAATCTGTGTGCGGATCTGGAAGGACAGCCATGATGTGTCGCTAAACGAGAAAAGATGGCTGTACAGAAATGTCTAAATAATCAGGTTGAATGATCAAGAATTAATTTTTTTTAATGTCTAACAAAAGAAAAGCTGTGTGCGTGTGTGTGTGTGTGTCAGGGTGTGTGTGTCAGGACATTTTTGAATAAGCACGGACAAAGATGTGGAAGAAACACGCAGGGGTGGTTGGCAGGAGGCAGTAGGAAGTACTAGGAAAGTGGAAAAGGGAAGATGAGGGGCAGAAGGATTGCGGGGGTAGAGTACTTACGGTATAACATTAACTAAAAATGAACATAAAAATCTTAACTATAAGCCGGCGCTGTGACTCACGCCTGTAATCCCAGCATATTGGGAGGCCAAGGCGGGTGGATCACTTGATGTCAGGAGTTTGAGACCAGTCTGGCCAAGGTGGTGAAACCCTGTCTCTACTAAAAATGTAAATATTAGCTGGGCGTGGTGGTGGGTGGCCAGCTACTCAGGAGACTGAGGCAGGAGAATTGCTTGAAGCCAGTAGGCAGAGGTTGCAGTGAGCTGAGATCACACCACTGCACTCTAGCCTGGGTAACAAAGCGAGATTCCATCTTTAAAAAAAAAAAAAAAATTCTTACCTGTAATATTACTACAAAAATGTAAACAATAAGCGTATGGATAAAGACTAGACAGTAACATGGACAAATGAAAAAGACAGGGTCTTAGTCTGTCACCCAGGCTTTAGTATAACAATATAATCATAGCTCACTACAACCTGGAACTTCTGGGCTCAAGCGAACCTCCCACCTTAGCCTCCCAAGTAGCTGGGCCCAGAGGCACATGCCACCATGCCCAGATAATTTTTAAATTTTTTGTAGAGACACTGTCTCATATGTTGCCCAGGCTGGTCTTGAACTCCTGGCCTCAAACAGTCCTCCCACCTCAGATTCTTAAAGTGCTGGGGTTACAGTGAGCCACCATGCCCAGCCTAAAATGTTAGTTGTTTGGGTTTTTTTGGGTTGTTTTTGTTTTTGTTTTTTTGAGACAGAGTCTTGCTCTGTCGCCCAGGCTGGAGTGCAGTGGCACGATCTTGGCTCACTGCAACCTTTGCCTCCCAGGTGCAAGCGATTCTCCTGCCTCAGCCTCCTGAGTAGCTGGGATTACAGGTGTGCACTACCATGCTGGGCTAATTTTTGTATTTTTAGTAAAGACAGGGGCTTTCACCATGTTGGTCAGGCTGGTCTCAAACTCCTGACCTCGTGATCTGCCCGCCTCAGCCTCCCAAAGTGCTGAGATTACAGGCGTGAGCCACTGCACCCGGCTAAAATGTTAATTTTTAATCAAAAATGTTAGGCCGGGCACGATGGTTCACGCCTGTAATCCCAGCTCCTTGGGAGGGATCTGTTAAAATGTACACACTGAATGAAGAGACCCCCAACAGGGTTTGTGTGAGCAACGTGGATGTTTATTCACCTGTGTGCGGGCGGGCTGAGGCCGGAAAGGGCTTCAGCAGAGGGTGGTGGAATAGGAGTTGGTTATAGGTTGGGGCAAGTGGTCAGTTAAAGGCGGTAATCTATTTTAGGGAGGGGAAGGGCATCACGGGATGCATGGTCACAATGGTAGCGGTTATCTATTACAAATAGGCATGATCATAACGGTGAGGGTTATTGATTGCAAGCAGAGGGGAGGGTGCTGTAAATTACATAGTTACAGGGGTGGGGGGTCTTGAGAAACCCAGTGTCCAGGGGGGGAAATTTCGTAAGGCTAAGCAGGAACAATGGTTTCAGGTTGCAGGGGGAGAGCAATTAGTTGAGGCAGGAACAAGTTATTTCACTTCTTTCTGTGGCCACCTGATTACTTGTGGTTACCTCAGACTTTCTGGCTTCTGGGGACCATCCAGAGGTGTACTTGCGGGTCACTAAGGCTATAATGGCCAGGCTTGGACTTAGAGGCCTAGCATTCCCATCTTTTTATATATGTATTAAAGAAAAAAGTTGGAGAAGGGAGTAGGGGCGATGTTTCTCATGACTTTTTCGAGCGCGACAGGGCTGCACGGACACCTAAAACAAAAGCCTGTGGTTTGTGTAGTTTAGTAAGTGTTTGGCCAAGTCTTTGGAAGCATAATAGCTTTAGTGATGAAACCTTGGGCCAAGGTTGGAATAGTGTCCAATGTAGGGGATGTTCCCAGAGGTCTTGGATTGAAAGAGATATGTGCAGGTTCTGGAGAGGTCATGCTGCATCTTGACATTAGCCGGGCGCTGCCTGGAGCTCATGAGTGATGGATTGGTGTTTCTGCTTGTTCCTGGAAGGGTGAAGACTATGAAATAGGGTTGGGGAGAAAGACAGGCAAATGAACAGGGAGGGTTGGCAAGGCGTTTTGCCTTAAGTGGCTGAGAGGTCCTGGGACGGTGGGTAATGTTAAAAGTAGCATTTGCCACGTAGAGTGATTAGTGATGGCCTGGATACGGTTTTGTAGGAGTTGAGAGACTAATTGGAAAATGCGAGGTCTGAATAAGAGAAGGAGGGGGTTGGGTATTAGGGGAGTAAGGAGTGGAAAGAGCCGTGACATCCAGCTAGGATGGGATAATATATGCCAGGTTTGGCATAGTTATTTGCCTCATTAGCAAATTTTGGAGCCTTGTCTTTGAGCCTTTTGATATTATCATAAACTAGGCCGGTTTGATTTAAGTGAAAGCCAAATTCCTCATTGAGAAATATACAGAGTTCCCTTTTCTGCAGTGAGTTAAGTCGAGGCCACGACAGTTTTGGAAGACGACTGCAGCTAAAGAGTCTATTTGAGCTTGAAGGACAGACAAGGTATTATATATGTCTGTAATGCTGGCAGAGAAATCAGTAGACAGGCTGTGGAATGTTGTGACAGAGGTGGTGACCCCCACTATGCCAGTTCCAAGGCCTACAGTGGAGGCTGCACGCCCCGTTCCCACAAGTAATGGAATTAGCTAGGTGACTCTTTTTTCGAGTAGGTGTCATTAGGGAGACAGGCAGTTGCTCATTACCACTGGCAAATTGAATTTGAGGAATAAGGAAGACTAAGGCACAGGTTCCTCTCCAGTTAGTGGGTAGACACATAAAAGTGGAAGAGCCACAAAGGAGGAGACCTGGGGGAAGGCAGAATTGAAAACGTAGGGTGAAAAGCTGGGAGGGATCCTTGAAAGGGGAGTCAGATTGCCAAATTCCTAAAGATCCAGCAAGAATAGCAGCAGTTAGGGGGTTGAAAGGGAGACTGATGGTAACTGTGTGGTGGGGGCAGTTTGGTTTTCATAATGTATGAGGAAGCATGTGGTATCAACAAATAGTCTGTCACTAACATTTGAAGGGCCAGGTATGAGTAAGCATGCAGAGGGGCTACGAGGAGAATCTGAGGAACAGGGAGAGGGTAGCCAAGGATGGAGTGAGAGACTGGGAAGGTGCCGACCTAGACAATAATGACTGTTAATATTTTTAGGTTATTAGTAGTGATAGAGCGTTTGTTGGTGAAGCAAAGTGAGTATGCTCCTAAAGGCATATTAACGTGTGTGTCAGGGCTTTGGAGATGAAGAGTAAAGCAGCATTTAGAAGATAGAAGATTGCCCAAGGGAATTCCAGTGGTTCGTTGATGGGAAATGCATAGAGGAGCAGGAGTGGGGATAGTTGTGTAGTAAGGGGTCCTAATATGGGCAGAGTGGAGTTAATATGAGGTGAGAGTTGCTGTAAATAGTTGCAGAGAAGTATAGCAGCTTGTTGGTATGAAATGTCTGAGGAAGTTTTGCTAAACTTATCTAAGAAATAGAGAAGCTCTATGGGAGGGTAGAGATGGGGACTATCAAAAGAGGTGTGTAGGTGCAGGAAGACGGAAGACGTAGCCTAATCGGCTGGCAGGACAGGAATAGCGGTATAAGAGGAGGAAGAAAGGGAGATGCAGAGCCAGCAGTTTTTTGCCAGCAGTGGGTTGGAATTAATGAGGAGGTAATGGGTTAGACTGATGGTATGTTGAAGGTAATTAGGAAGGGATAGGGAGTGACAGAATGAGACTGAGAATAAGATGAGTAGAAAAGTAAAGAAGAGGACTTCATCACGGTGAAAGAATTGGAGTGTCCCTTGCCACATAGGTTATTTGTCCACTCAAGAAAGGAGTCAAGGGTGGAAGTTCGTGAGTAGAACCATGAGATGTCAGCTAAAATGGTCTGGAGGAAAGCAGTGAACTGGCAAGGCAAGCAAGTATAGGGCATTTAAATGTGGACGAGAAGGGCGACTAGAACTATGATTAGATAGCAGTAGGAACAGAGAGCTTGAGAAGTGTAGACCAAGTTTTAGGGGTGACTGCATAGAGCCTGTTGCAAATAGCAAAGTTAAGAGAAAGATTCCTGTTGTTTTTTTTCCAGATTTATTGGAGTATAATTGACAAATAAACATGGCATATATTTAATGCATACAACTTGATGTTTGTTTTTGTTTTTTTTAATTGTGCTTTAGGTTCTGGGGTACATGTGCAGATCATGCAGGATTGTTGCATAGGTACATACTTGGCAAGGTAGTTTGCTGCCTCCATTTGGCTGTCACCTATATCTGGTATTTCTTCCCATGATATCCCTCCCCAATCTCTCTGCCCCCTGCTGTCCCTCCCCTAACAACCCTCAACAGACCCCA